CACCAAAAATAGACTTAATATGTTTTGGGATATTGCAAGCCTGTTCATGATTATTGTTGTTGCATATTAGGAAAATATTATTATAGATTACCCCTAGGCCTTATTAGACATCAGAAAAGGTATGCTAGAAAGGTCGGAACTGCAGTACAGTAAAAGTTGACTTCACTCTGCAACCATTTCCTCAGAAGGCTTTTTCTGTCCAGATGCCGAGTTTCATCAAGTTTGTAAGGACACAGTATGCTGAGATCTCACCTCCTCGTCCTGACTGAAGGGAACTTGAGCAGTGTGTTCAAAGGTTACTACAAGGGTGAGGGGACAGACAACACATTATCAGATAAGCCCAGCTTCCTTAGGAAGTCAGCTCAAATTAACAAGCATAGATTCTCCTGCCACAGAGGTGCAGATGGAAAACACCTAACCATCTGAACAAAGAACAAAGCAAAGGGGTGAAGGTTAAGGGATGCTACTGGCCAAAAGATAATTTTTGATCATCTAGGTTATTGTGCTGTGCAGAAGGAAACAGCTCAGAGTCACTTACACACTTGTGTTTTAACCCATTCAAAAATTTTCTTGATACATACTACAACTGGCAGATTAATACCATATGGAGAAGAAGGATGTACTTTAATAAATCTGATTCAGCTACACACATTTCCTGATATGCTTGAATTTGGTGACCTCATGATCGACACACTTCCTTGAATTCTTGTGCTTTGAAACACAGCATGGAACAAGCACAGTGAGCAAATGCACACAAGTCTGATTACTACAAAATACCTCTTATCATGACTCCAGTGGCTATCCACTATGCCTTTTCAATACTTAATACAGGTGCAAATCATAGAAAAAAAAATGCACACACTTTTTTCTTTTGTTCAGTACATAAACCAAGAATCCAATGAAAATACAAAGAAGTTTCCACTTCTCCAGTGCTTATTGCATTTTACTAACATGTAACACAAAGAAAACATAATTTAATTATTTCAAAGCACATTTCAGTTTTGGAGGATACTGTTAGCTACTGTGTATTTCTCAAAACAGCATGTCTTCAGAGGAAAATGTCAACTGCCCACACTGTCAGCTGCACTTTACTCAATGTCAGGTTCAAGGGCCAGACCACATCACTCAGTCTTAACAAAGACTGCAGAATAAAATTGCTGTTTCTTAGAAGAGTTGTTATCTGCATAATACTGTTCCTGCCGGTTCTCTTCAGCTCATAACCCCCTTGTGAACTCACGAACATTTAAGAAGTCGACCTTATTAATGAGAGTTTATTTTCCTTTATCTGGAAATGTCCAAAAACTTATTTTGAACTATATGACCTTTAATCTTCTTTCCATCACAGGAAAAGCCTAATTAGTTTTATAAGAGAACACTGATAATTACTGAAGCAATTCCAAGTGTGTTTTTTTAAAAAACCGGCAATGACCCAAGGGTTGGAATCCTTCATTGTTTACAATAAAACCTGCGGTATTCAAATTATTTTTAAGGTACAATGAACCAAATCCAAAGAAAGTCTCTCTTCACATGTACAAAGAGCACATAAATAGATCAAATGCTGAAACGCAGCTTTCACATTAAATAATATATTGAGAATAAAGAACAACAGTTATGCAATATCCTTTTAGAGTGAATGTAAGGAATGAGAATCACTTACGAGAAATAAATTGATTTTTTTAACTAATCAAGGAAATGGGCAATTCCTGAAACTACAGATCTATATTTTCTGACAAATTCCTGTTGCACCAATCTTTACTGAGACTAAAAGCTCTCAAGACCTGTTGTAGTTCCTCTCTTAATAAGTATCTGACAGATCACATGAAGACATACTGCAGCATGTTATCATATATGACCAGCCTTCCATCAGGGTGGGCAAACACTTTCCTCTCTGCTCTGCACACAAATGGGCCCCCATGCTGCAATTCCCCTTCCAAACTTGACAAAGGTGAAAGGTCTACAATACAGTAGGACATTATCAGAACAAGTCAGTCCATGTGTAATTACCTAGCAGTTGTATTTCCTTCATTTATTTCCTTCACATGCTGTTTTAATTGAATTTTTTTTACCCCTGGATTTTTCACTTATGCATACATACACACATATCCCTCCCCTACTCAGCAAATATTGACTTCTACAGTTAACATACTGGAGATGGTCTCTTTCCTAATTAAATCTCATAGACACAGGCTACAAGAAATTCATATTAACCACGCAGTTCATGCTTGTACATGGACTCACTCTCATGCCTGCTTGTGGTAACATGACTCTCTCATTCTCTTGCTGCTCACAGCTTCCACTGGCACCAGGGACCCAAAAGACACGCAGGCGCACTAATCCAGCTTTCTGAGGGCAACACTACTCCTCCTTCTCTGCTCCTCTCACAGAGGTCCCTGCAAATGGCCTATGGTCCACTTGCACATCTTGTAGCAGCACAGCAACCCAATGCCTCAAAATAAACTGACTCTTTCATGCTATCCTTTCTACCCATCTAATAGATTGTGATGCTGCCAAGAAACATACAACCTCCCCTCAATTTTACTGTGCTACTTCATGTTATCACCTCTACAATGCAGCACTTCCTGAAGTGTGTTGTCCTAACTAAACCAAACCACTTATTGCAATGTGAGAGGCACAAGATGTACTTGTTTTACAAGTAAATTAACGCCTGGCTTTCAGTTTCCAATAATTTAGACTGATCATTCAGTTTAGGCAGAACATGGTCTAAAAAGAAAACATGAAGGAATGTTCAAATTGTGTTTTCAATTTTTGCTAAATTGCTGTAAATAGAATTCAAACATAGACTGAAATCTCTCAGTCCACAAAAAAAAAGATGCCGAAAATTCCAGCGTTTTTCAGAATAATGTAAATGAGAAGTTTATATTTTGTCTGTTGGATGTGTTTTTCTATCTTAGAAAGTTTACTTTCCTTGATGTAAAAAACCTAGCAGCCCTTTAGGTGTTTCATTGAGGGTCTCAGAATAGAAAATACTGCTATAAAAGTACTTTGCAGGGATGCTGTCCTGGTTTCAACAGGGATAAAATAGTAAAGCAAACTCTGCACAATCAAAATAATCTCAGAAAAAGCAACAAAGCAATGAAGATATGAACGTTTTAAAATAATACACATGCTGGCTAGGATCCACGATTTTTACTGCTGTAAAATAAAACAATGGTTTTCTGCAACTTCTTTTTTGAGTCCCTTGTAAATAACCCACCCCCAAGTGCTGAGACAGCAGCATCTGCAAGGGTAGTGATGCTGCACCTCATTTAAAATTTAAAGCAGCTCATATAAGATTGAGACTGCTGCTACTAATAGGACATAGAGTGAGTCAGTTCCACAAGTCTCTTCTGACATGATTCACTGCTAGGATAAGAAAACTAAACAGAAATTTTCAAGGCCATGTCTCACATCTTGACAATCCTTTCATATGACCATTATTATAGCATCTCTAACTTGCATCTGCCTCTTCTCCCTCAATCCTCCCTTGAAAGTGAGATTCATCTCCTGAAGTTCTCTTTTGTTTTTCTCTTCTGAAAGGTGACTATAAAAAGGGCTGAGGAGAGGAAAAAACAACCTTGGAATTTACACACACAAGTCATTCCAACTTATCTATCTATGCTTAACAGGGTTCTTCCTTCCTGCTATTATTAGTAAATCTCACAGTTTAGTTCTCTCAGCATTGAGCTGGCAGATAAAGCACAAAAGAAGAAGGATTTCTTACTTATTAACTTCTGACACCAATAAATTCTGTATACCTACACAGTAGAATGGAAAAACCTCTTCCTGTGGAAGGTTGTTCATCACATTTTTCATGCATTGTTGCTGATATGTTAAACTTTATTGTTTCGCAAGTCAGCAACGAAGCAGCTATTGTTTCCAAAGTGCTGAGCAAGTTTGACTGTGGGAGCAAGAGACGTGCAGCAATTTTCAATGGTCTCTCTGGTGACTGCAGACTGAGATGGCCAGACATAGGGAAGAAAAGGCAGGGGAAAGGGGAACCTGAAGAGCTGGAGAACTGAAGAACTAAAATCTGTGTAGTTACATGAATCACAAGTTCTGTTTCAGTTTATTTTGAGTTTCTATTCCAGTATTCTATTCCTTAGAAAGAATTCTGCCCTTCATGAATCTAGTCAGGTTTACCCAGACACACAGCACACGATGCACAAGGCCAAGCACATCCTTACAAATTCACCTGTCAAAATACAGAGACTGGCAGAACCTTTAATGTTATGGTATGAAACACCAATACATTTTTTATTCCTTGTGTGAAATATTATTCTACAAAATCTCATCACAAAGCAAGTCATTTGAACTCACAAAGCATTACACAAATAACACCACCTCAAACATCTTTGGAGAGTACTGTGCTTTTCCCATTTCTGCAACATCCCATACTAAAGAGCTATTCACAGAATCTGCACAAGGACTATAAATGCAAAACATATTTAGATGCTAATACATATGCCTCACAGATATAAGTATTTTACTCTAGAATGTTATATTCAGAAAATATTTGTAAATCAAAGTAGAAGAGCTTAAAAAGATCAGATACCTATGTAGATATTAGGAATGCAAGTGACAAATACCTTATTTTGTCCAAATAAGAAAAATTTAAAAACTAAAACCAAACCAAACCAAGTAACTATCATTATGTATGGCAAAAACTAATGATCATTACTTGAAGAGATCGAGTAGAGGCAATTTTTACCAATACTTGTTGAACTCCTAAAGTAATCAGCTCAACAAAAAGCTGGGTTTAGATTGCAGCATCTTATTCATGTTAGTTCTCAGGTCTCATGATGCTATCAGAGATCACCTATGTCTTCTGAGGAGAAGAGTATTTGACAGCCAAGGACAGCTGCTCGTGACTAACTCACTGCAGATTTATGCAAGATAATAAGCCTCAGTAACCTCATATATACACATATTGCTCTGGAATTTCAGAAATGTTAAGTATATGACTAATTCTAACTTATGAATGAAGGTATGCACAAACTCACATTTGCACTGTTGGCAGGAGCCCAGCTGCAGGAGCTCTTTCCTTAGTCTTGGTACAGGACAGCTGAATGCTGAACGGGGCATTCACGTGAAGCACCTGAACCTGAAAGACTTATACAAACCATTGCTAGGAATGCCACACTTGAGGATCACTCAGAAAATTGTATGTTACGTGTTTGAGCGTGTGAAGAGGAAAATTAATACTATTTTGCTGACAGCCTGTTAGTGACCAGATTCTACAGCAGCTATTGTAATGCTGAGTACTTGCTCCCATTTCTGTCTGCAGTAATCACTGCCCAAATTTCAACCCAGAGCTACCTACTGATTAGCAAGTATGCATACACCAGGGGAAAAGGATAGCAGACAAGAATCTAATGTTTTCAAGGATGCATTCTTTGCATGTTAACACCAGCTGCACCACTCACTAGTTGAAATATGAGGAAGGAACCAGAAAACATTCAGTTTTCAAAGTATCAGTTATTGCAGCTCAAGCAAATAAATACATAAAAGATATTGAAAATAAAAGTCCTAACAACTTTTTCTGTATGGATCAAGCTACCTTACAAAAGCCATTGATCCAAGAACACAAGAGAAAAACTAGCCATTCATTAGCAGTGGAAATGGTTTCATCCAGTACAAAGTCAATTTATACTCAGGATCAAATTACTTAAACAATTTGGGTCTTTTGTTGCAAAGGCTAACACAATATAACTATTTAGTTCAGAGAGATTACTTGGTCACAGTTCTCAACTACCTACGCAGAGAAAGGATTTAAACTTAGCCCCCTGTTTAAGACACAAGAGGAAATGCCATGTAGTAGACCTCCACTAAAAAGTGAACATTGTGAAAAGTAAAACTAATTAAGTATTGGCAAAGGTTTTCACAGGAGGAGAGAACTGGTTCAAATAAAAGTAAGATTGAATGTATTAATTACTAAGAAATTCTAAATATGGGTTCAATGCAAGTCTTACTATATTAAAGCCTTTAGTTCACATTACTCCATCAGACTAGATTAGCACAAATCATGCACGGATCTCACTTTAGAAAGGATTTTAATGGTGAAGGAAGACAATATGAAAGGGACAAAATACAGACTTTGAGGTAAGACTTACAATAAGGGTCACATAACATCTTGCTCGATTTACATCCAGACTGACCCTGTCTTTTGAAATATGTGGCAATATTTGATCAAAAATTTCCCAGTATCTTGAAAAAAGAAACAGACCAATCACATTTAATTTGGAGAAGGCTGTTCTATATTGGGAATTATGACAATGCTGCTCTAGCAGATGAAATATGAGTTACGTGCCTTGAGACCTGTGCACTAAAGACTTCCCACAGCTATGACCTTTGGAAATGTGTGGAGCAGGGGGAAGGAGGGGGAAAAAGAAGAGGAACAGGTAGAATCTAGAAAACAGATGTTTTTATCCTCACAACTAGGTGAAGCCCTAGAGGAGTTTGACATGTAAGTTCACCTCACATGCACAGTACTTCTGTTCTTGTTGCACATAAGACAACACATAAGTTTACAATAAAAATAAATATTTTTCTTTTTGGTTTTGTTTCCTTTTCTCTCACCTTGTCTCTTTTTTCTGCCTAGGATTAACATTAGTAGCTTATCTCCTTGGTTTTAGCTCCAGAGCAGCTGTAAAAACCTCAGAGGTCACACGTCTCCTGCCGCAAGTGCTGAACTTGATCCAAAACATGAATTATTGTGAAAATTACTTATAATTGGAATACTTATAACTTACATTCACCCTCTGGGCTTCAGAATCTGTAGAAGCTCCACCTATAATACTGACCATTATAATTTTCTTCTGAAGTTCATTTGATTTAGGAAGCATTTTTCCCCTGCAGTAATATTCAAACCAATTATTGGAGAAAGATATTTTGAAGCTCTGTTCTCACTGATTTTACATGTAGGAGAGGCCATTAGAGCATCCAGTTCAAGAAGGACAAAACTATGATCTGCCATACAAACATAGTTACATCACATGATGAGCAGCACTGCTGTCTTGGCACAAGAGCTTCTGGATGACTGTGCTAAATCCTGCTTGGAAAGGAGAAGGGCTGCCATGCTAAGGCAGATACCACCAAACAACCCCAAAAGGCAACTGCCCAGACCTGCCCCATGCTGAGCAGAGCCAAGACTCTTCTTTCACTTGCCCAAATTTCTCTTTCCCATGGATTCTCCACGGTATGTCAGATGTTCATCTCTCAAACAGGCATGCAATTTGAAATGCAGCTAATAAAGAAAAATAAAATATGAATATCAGATATTCTCAGACCACCCTGATGGACTGCAGTGTGGAGGTGTCTCCATGCACAGCCCAAATGCTCCAGAGGGGCTCACCTTCACACTGTTTGAGACCACCCTGAGTCTGGACTAGACAACTTTGCAGCAAGTGGCCTGGGTCACCATCTGGATCCAAAGCAGTTTTTCCTGTTCTTCTGTGTTCAAAGTGTTTGAAATTATGAAAGAGCAATTTTTAAAGCTTTAGGCTGAAACGTGTGTCACGCCCAAGGGCACAACGTGGAGGGCATTCAAGGGCATCAAGCCAATGGGGAGAGAGCTGGCTTGCTCTGCTCACCACCCTAGCCAACCTTGCCGTAGGACATACTCCCACCATTCAGAAAAAATGCTCAACTGCCTGAGTTACATACAGTTAACTGAGCCTGCATTTCTTCTTGGAGGGAAGCAACTGATTCAGGGAGCAAAAGTAGCTTAAGTGGATGGCTGAGGCCCAGAAGGAAAACATGGCCCATTTCTGAGCCAGATTGACAGTGTAAACCACCCTCAACCACCCCTGTTGCTTGTACTTTCATTATACCTTTAAGCAACTTGAGCAATAATGACAAAATTATGCAAGCATAAGAAGCATTCCAGCATACTTTTCAGACAGTGTTTATCACCTAAAGAAAACACTCAAATACATTGCTTTATTTAAATCCCATGATTATGCACTACAAATTACCAGGCAGCCTTGATATGAAACTATCAAGGTTCAGTCAATATTATAGAGCTGTTATCAGTGCCGCTGTAGGTACAAAGAAAGCACAAATGCATACCTCTATTTTTGGAATATACGTATATTCCATAATAAAGTACTTTTTGACTGTTGATCAAAATGCAGGAAGCTATACTGGCAGAGAACACTAGCATAACATTACTCATCAATACAGAACCATTCCCCTCCAAAACAAAACAAACAAAAAAAAAACCACCAAAAAACTCCACCAAAAACTAAAAAAAAAAACCAAAAAAACCCACCCCAGAATAATTTCCTAACCAATGGTACTGTATCACTGAAACTGGCTGACTGGGGAGAGACTGCTGCAATGTAAAATCAACCTCAAGAAAGCACTACTTTATCTACTCAAGGAAATTTCAGGAGACTGGGGCTGGCTGAAAGGCTGTGCTTTTGATTTTGCAGGAAACTGCCCCTGAATTTCTGGGTATAGGGATGAGAAAGGAGACTGCTCCCTGACAACACATGGCCCAATAGAGGGGGGAGGTGGAGCTAAAACAAACCTGCCAACACAGCAGTCCATCCTCAGCTGTGGGCTGCACTGAGGGTCTGATTTTTGGCAGGGTAGGAAGCGAGCAGAAGGAGCAGGGAATTGCCACAGTGCTGTCCTTGTTTCCATGACATGTGCTTTTATAACTTGTGCACCCTGAGGTAAAAGGCACAGTTTGGACTCAACAGCTGACAACTCAGCAGTTCTCTGCCTGTGGGGTAAGGGAAAGATGGTTCTGTTGTAGCAACAGTTGACCTCACTCCAGTGCCAGCTCCAGACAGTGCAGAGAAAGGAGGGGGTGCGTATGCCCTTCAAAACCTTACACCCTGACCAACATTCATACCAATGGCTTAGCAGCTATTTTTAGCCTAAGCACTTTCTGCTTACAGTGAAACCTGCTACTAGGAATGATTCCAAGAGACAGCAGCAGGGAAAGGCAGACAGCAGCAAAGTGGCAAAAGGCCCTGTTGAGCTTCTGGTGCTTGCAGGAGTTCAAGGACCTTACGGACACACAGCAGCAGGGCTCCCACAGTCTGTAAATGTAGGGATTGCAGATTTTCCAGAGGAAGGAGGATAGCAGTGAGCAGCAAATAAATGATAATATGTATAAAAAACCAGTCCCCAAATATATTTCTCAGGGACAGATAAGAACTTCCAAAGATTGTTCTAATTAAAATCTGTTTGTTTGCAAGTCAGTAAGGAAGGAAGGCAAAGAACACAGGGACTTCTGTGTTTTCTAGTGATACATATCCTGCTGCCTCTCAATCTGCCAAAATACAGGTAAGAAAATAGGTCTGTTCATCTAGGCATTTATATGGCCCTCATCATTGCCATGCTAATGACTCTGGAAGAAATCCACACCACTCTGGAAGATCATCCCTGAAGACATTTAAGCATGTATGAAACCCAAACTTTTGATGCTTCAACCTAAAAGAGAAATGTTTGAAAATCCCACTTAGTTGCAGGTAAATATTAGAGAGGAAAAATAAATAAAAGGAGAGGCGATGATAAATTTTGTAGGCATCAGCATGCACAGATGCAGTCTCATATTTGACAGGGCCATACCATTTGCCTGATGCTTAAACACTCAAGATTCACGAAGCAGCTACTCCCTGCTTGTATCTGCTGATAAAATGAGCACAGAACCAAAGAATCAGGTTCCAAAAAAAAAAGCTGTTTCTTTGGCTTAAAGACATAGGAGAAGAAAGCAGCAGGAATGTTCCCTTTTCTGAGGCAATCCAAGTCACTGCAGCACTTGCGGGGGTATCAGAAACACCTCAGGCTACTCAAAGTGACAGATGAGTCAGGATGAAGACTCCTCCAGCCCTTCTGTCGATTCTGAAGCTTAAGTAACCACTGAGTCAGTGCTACCTCATGTCCTTGTGAGATGACACTCACTGGAATTGCAGGATCGTGGTCTCCAGGTCTTGGTCCCAAGAATTATTTTCATCTTTTACATTAAACTCTTTATGGAACAAAATGTATCAGCCAGCTTTGGAACATAGAGCACGTCTCAAGTCTTATCTGGAAGCAATTTATTTTTCTTTTTTTAGACAAATTTGATGCCTACCAGTCAAGAATAATCAAAACTAAATCTCAAGGGCAAAAGAAAAACATAATCCATCTATATCAGCCTGATGATATACAGCATTCTGCAAGATAGAGTCATTAGTTACAAACATCTATGTTGTTTAAATACATCTTTTCATAAAGCATGTAATTTGCTGTCAAACACTCATTGGATTAAGCAATCCAACATTTATACTCTAAAAGAGCTGTTTCTAATACATTTAGAGATTCTGTTCTAGTATTACCTATGGATGTTAATAAATTCAGATATTTTTTAAACATTTTCTAACGCCCCGGTCTGCATGACGCTGAAATACATGTGACCTTATAGCCAGAGACTGTAACTCAACAAGCACTTGAAATTAAAGTCCTATGAATACCTGCTAGAGTACCAGCAGCAGCTCTGTCACCGGTGAAAAAGTCTTCCTCTTTTTGAGACGAGCATCTCCACCCACATGGCTGTTCCCAGGTATTCCTGATTTGCCTTCGGCAAGTCTGTGAGAATGCCCTCACCTAAAGGTTAAGTCTCTCCCTTTCCTCAGCACACCTGTAAAGGGATTTTGCACAATCTAATTCACAGATAATGCTTGCCACTGGTTGCTCTAGGTGACTAAAGTGGTGTGTTTGGAAAGTGCACAATGGAAACTGTTATCACTTCATAATGCTGATAAAAGTTTGAATAGGTGAAACAGCGATAAGATGAAAGGATGCAAAGACTTCGTAAACAGAAAGCAAACAAAATTGGGTGATCTACTGACTCCCTAAAAGTTATATTCCAAACCAGCTCCAACTTAATGATTTGTAAGCCCTCCTTTTGTGACTTGCTGCAAATTTTCCAGGGTAGATCACAGCCCTGCAGTCTGCTGAGACAAGTCTGTCTTTCTTTAGACCTCTCCAAAGTAACCTGCAGACCCATCTCCAGCTAATGGCCAGAATCTCATGCTGACAAATAATAACCAAGTGCAGATATGGTGCTTGCTACTCATTCTGTGGATACACTCATGGCACTTGCTCCTCTCTCCTCCACATCCAAATCCTTTCCCTCATCAAACGTAATTTTTGTTTTGATCTCGATTCAAATTGTTGCCAAATCCAGGAGACTTCTAGGTCTATTCTCACCTTTATGGACAGAAATCAAAGCTTATCTTTATCACCAAAATCGTGCAGCATAAAATGGTTGATGAGCTAAGGACAAGCACAGACTTTCTGCAGATCAAGGCATTCATCCATTCTTCCCTACAGGATGTGCAAACCTTGATATATAAAGCACGTGGGCACTGATGGATCTACACCAAAAAACATACTGTCTCAGCTGGCATTGCCACATGCTGATTTGAGAGGGAATACGGCATGACAGAGTTCAACCTTTCTCACAATTGCTAAACTTGCTTAGTCTTATTAGCAGTCTGGGTTCATGCTGTGGGGTTGAACTAAGAGTTTAGGAAGAATTTAAATATTTCTTCTACAGTAAGGAGAAAGGGCAGAATGGACTTCCAGGAGAGATGTCAAAGGCAACTCACACTGCCTTACTTAGGCAATAAGCTGAGTTTCAAATGCAGCAGAAATCAACCCAATTCCCAAGCTTTCCTGAAGGAAATTTGACAGGAGATGGCCTTGATAATGGAATATAAACATTTCACTATTTTTGCAATGGTAATTTTAAGTGTGCAAGTCTGTCGAAAAGAATCAGAGTGACAATTCCTACACAGCAGTTCACTATCCCACTCTCCTCAATATTAGTGTAATACCTATCCAGATTTTCACTCCCATTCATAGCAAACTTCCCAGGCATTCACCACCAATGACAACTGAAAAACAAAGCAAGCGTATAACCAATTCCTGCCGAAGTAATACACAGCATGCCAGCACAACACAGTCAATTCAAATTTACACGCTGAATCTTACAACGGAATAACGTTCTTTACAGAACCGCCTCAAAGGTTTTCACAGATCGCTTTCAAACACGCTATCTAGACGCATCAGAAATTCAATCACTCAAAACAGACACAGCTGCCGCTGTGCCAGAGTCCCTGTACAGCCTGTGCGCAGAGGCGCCCAGCATGTCTGGATGCTCCCCAAACACAGAAGGGGTTTTGGAGTCCTCTCCTAAGGTCCATTTTTCAAAAGGGTGCTACTTATTATAAAATAAAATAAGATAAAATAAGATAAAATGAAGAAATGAAATGAAATAAAAAGAGGCATAAATAGTATTTACCCGCTGCTCAGTCCTCGAGCCAGCCAACCTGCCGGCCAGCGGAATGAGCTGTTGACAAAACACAGCCTCTATTTAAGCCGCAGCTCCGGCAGCGGCAGAGAGGAGCCGCCGGTCTCCCCCCGCGCCCCCGAGGGAGGCTGCCGCACTCCGCGCCCGCACCGGCTCCGACCCCCGCCAAGCCCCCGGCGCCGCCGCCGCCGCCACCTGTGCCCAGCCCCGGCCGAGCCCCGAGCCGCACGACACCAGGCAGGCAGCTGGGGGGGCTCTCCGAAAATCCCCGCCGCCGCGCTGGGTCCCGGTGGGGCTGCCAACCCCCTCCGCCCCTCCCGGCCGGCACCTCCCCGGGGCGGGCAGAGCGAGGGAGGGATGGAGGGAACATCCATCATCGCGCCCCTCGGGCCGCCCCCTCCCAGGTGCGAGCGGCCGGGAGCGGGCGCCCGGCGCGGTGCCAGGGCTTGACGGCGCCCTGGGCCGTGCGGTGGGGGCCGCGCTGCCGCGGGCGCTGCAGAGCCGGCGCGGCGGCTGTGGGTGCCCCGCGGGCTGTGGCGAGTGTGCTGCGCGGAGGGTGAAGGCGCGGATCTCATCCGAGCCTTTCGGGTTTTCTCCGTGACACGGTCAAATACCCTTTATAGAAAAGTACCTTGAATACTTCCAGCGCTGGGGTTGGACGCGGTGGGCCTGGCTCCACGGGTGCAGGCGATTCTTGATTCATTTTATCTTCGTATTTGCCACTACTTTTCGAGGTCTGAGACTTGACCTCCAACATTTCTTTCAAGCCGCAACTGTTGCATGTCAGCCTCTCTTGCAAATTTAACTTGAAGTCCTCCCACAGTCTCAAGAGTCGGGCAATTAAAAAAAAAAATGCTACGAGACCTGTAAAATCAGAAGAGTTGGCAAGCCTGTGGCTCGTCTGTTGTGCCCC